GTGTTAGGTCCTTATTGCACCTAGCTTCACCAATATTATGACCCCTTATGTTCTTCAAACAATAAAGTTTGAATTTCACCAACAAAGCGCGATCTTTCAACACCGCGTCGGACAGGTGTTTGGGAGCCAGAGGCGCGTGCACCACCCATGGTTGCTCACTCAGTACTAACCCAGCCAGCAGCCCTAGGGCATTATGGGAATTTTTTACAATATGGCTAACTCTCACTGGAGGTCCTAAGAGTCCATTTCGTACACAACCAGCTACGCAAACATTTAGAATGGGTACGAAAAAATTGAAGAGTTTTCTCGGTTAACACAGTTTCCCACCGGCCGAGAATACTCGGCGCAGTTAAGTGGTTAAAGATGAAGACCAAAAGTGAGGCACCTAACAATGCTAAGTGTCAATGGGAGAGCTGAAGATAAAGCCCCAATCCAGGGTCTATTAAACTCGAACGCGTATCAACGAATATCGTTAGTCGACGATACGATCGTAAGTTGTCGCATTTTCTGACCAAATTTATATCATAACTCGAAAAAATTGTAAGTCGATTCAATCGCAAGTCGAGGTGTCGCTGTATTTGATTTAGGATTATGCATCCACCAACACTGATCTCCCAGAAAACACTATTTACCTTCATAAATCTCCCAGAATATATATGCTAATGCAATTTTTATTGTGCAAGATGAAATTGTAGTCCAAACTTCAGTGACAAACAGGTCCTAATAACTGAATATGCATATGATAGGACATTTTTGCTAGGTGGAGGATGGCAAACGTGTCTGAAGTTTAGGGTCAAACAGCTGTTTCATATCTAATTTACTGCTTAGCTCAACAAGTGCTCCATTATATAAACTCCCTTGGTTCTAATGGCATATAAAATTCAACTACAGTATTTGGTTATGAATTCTAATTTTCCATACAATTTGTATATAAACATAGTATCATAACTTTCATTATTTGCAAATGCTGTAATTAAGATCGTAGCTCTGCCAATCCTTATTTTATGTTGAGGCATGTCCAGCTAGAACAGTCTGCTGTTGCAGTAATGTGCGAGATTAAAATTGGTATTTGAAAGCTTTTACCCAGTTTGTTCCGGGTGAGTTGGAAAAAGCTGATATCCCAGGTGACTGTACCGTAGATCAGGAACTAGCATGCACAGGGAGAGACCACATTCCTCTCCAATCAGGTTGGTGCTGCTTTTGATGAAAGCAGTAATAATAAAATAATTTGGTAATACTGTACTCCTTAATGATGTAGAATCTATTTTTACTTTAAGAAGAAATAATGAAGTGATTTGCATTGGTTAGATATCTTAGGCAGAAGGCAAGATGAGCCTCTTGTTATACTTTTGATGTTATGCAACCATCATTATCAAAATTCTTTGCAAGGTGCTATATACAGTAGTATCTGCGATACCATCATGTACCATAAAAAATAATGCTATTTTCTAGGGGAGAAGGGGGAGCCCATTGTTGCTTCCTGATGCTACTATGTATTGATATGGTAACATCTATGAAGTTGCATCAGTTTTGGAATTCCACAGGCCTCTCAGGGACCAGCACCAAAATCTGCCCCCCTCCCCCCCCCCATCCCTCAAAGAGGTGCAAGGAGTGGGCGACATTTATTTTCGCCACAGACTGGGGAAAGTGACCAGAAAGTCAACGAGTCAAAAGAAACCACTGCTGGCTTTAATAGAGACTGAAACCTTGAGAATCACCAAAAGAACTCCCCCACAATGTAAACAAATGATTGAATTCTGATGGAACTAGCACGAGCTCATTTGCCCCACCTTCCTCACTTGTTTGGGGGATAGGGGAGGTAACCCACCACCAGCCGGCATCACCACGCTCACTTCTATGGCTGATTTAGTAGGTACCAGGTTGCTTCTCGTCCATGCTTCCATGTTTTGCTTCTTCAGCTAAGTTGTGGTGTTTGCTCTTCATGCATTTCTTGTACACTGTATTATAACATGAGCCAAGTGCATGTTCCCAGTGTGCTCTTTAGTGCTACTCTTGCAGTGCCAGGGTTATCTTCCCTGGGGTATTCTGGAGTATTTGGGAATTATTTCCTTTGAGATTCTCCTTGCTTGTGGTGGCCTGGCCCAGGGCCAGGGCCAGGTGTCTTGGGATGTTCCTATCTTCACGTGGGTCAAGTGCTTTGTCTGCGGAACGTGCGGGTAGTTTGTGCTTCTCTGTGCAGCCAGGGTCGGCCTTCACAGCCTCTTGGATGTGTTATGAGGTTCTGGAGTCTTCCTGACTGGTAGACTATCCCTTGTTCTCACTTGGTGCAACTTTTGTCATACCCACATGCTTGAGTGGCATGTGGTGTTGATCATGTCAAAGGTGTTTTTGGGAGGCCTGTCTTTTGTGCCTTAAATGACCGACTGTTTGCCCCTGCTCTTTCTCAGGACGTGGGTCTCGTGCAGTTCCATGCCCATGTTACTCTATTGTCTGTGATGCTTGTGGTAGATGACCTTTGTGCTCATTTGCATTTGGGTTCCATCGTGCATTTTCTGTGCCTGCTTTAGCTGCATTCTATTTGGTTCACAGAGGACATGGGAATGCTAGGTGGGAGGTCCCTTGTGGGACTCTTGGCCTCCAGTGTGGCTGTGTCGGTTTGCTTTTCAAGCTGTACTCTCCCATGCTCTGGGAGGCAGTGGACATGTTCTTTGCTGCCCAACTCACTTGTCAACAGGCTGTGTTAGTCCATTCTTTGGATTTGGCATAGGCCTTTCCTCTTCTGTCTGCCTCTCCTTTTTCTCTTCTCCTCTTTCCTGAGAATTCTGTTATGCATTTCCTCTCTTTGGAGAATACAGTTTATCGACCCATTTTGGACTTCTCATTCTCTTTTCGAGGTGGTCGAGAAGAGCTGGGGGCATTACCTGTTGTTGGTTGAGGTAGGCCATCTATGGATTTAGATGCCGGGTTGCATGTGCATCCTGTGGCTGGTCCTTCTCCATCAGGTTGGCGCTATGCTCGCTCTTTTTGCAAGGAGGCTTCCCATGGTTTGTACTGGCCCTTTTGATGGGGGCATTGTGCCTGTTTTGCCGACTCCTAGTTTCATGATTCGTATGCTTTTCGGGTCATTTCCCACAGGCAGCGGTGGTGTTGGTTGGTTCCTCTCCCACCCAGGGGTTCGAGTCTTTCCAAGCAGGCTTCCTCTCCTCACCTGTGTTGGGTGTTCTTGGAATAGGTGGTTTCTGGTGTGGTTGGAATGACTTCATCTCTTCAGTGGGTTTTGCACCTCTTCTAAATCCCTAAATGGAACTCGCAGGACTTCAAGTTTATCCTTGATCTTTTGCAGCTGGCCCAGTTCATTCCTTGTCTCTCCTTCCAGATCACATTTTCCCGGGTTCATCTCATTCTCAAGGCGGACTCTTGCTTGATTTCCACGAACCTCAGGGACATGTACTGGCATGTCCTTTACATTTTGGGTTCAGGGATTGGCTAGGTTTTGTTGAAGGCAACAGGTTCTTCCTGTCTTCTTACCTCTTTTGGGTTCTTCTGTTTGGCCTCAATCTGCCTCCATGCTTGTTAACACGCTTGACTCAAGTCGTCCTGGCTCGTCTTAAGTTGTTGGGGGTTTGTGTTTTGGCCTACCTCTATGACTGGCTAGTGTGGGCTCCCTGCCATTATATGAGTCTGCTAGCCAGGGATTTGGTCCTTTCTCAGTTTGCTGGGTTCAAGTTCCTGGTGAATTGGTGCAAGTCCCAGTTGGTTTCATCTCAGGTTTGGACTTGGCTAGGCTTTATTTGAGACTCTTGGTCAGCGTTGCTTTCCCCGTCTCCAGCGGCATTTCTTTCTTCCTTTCGATTTATGGTCCCCCCCCCTTTGGTCTGTGATCGTTTCTTTAAGTCTTTGTTTTCTCTTGCTATTGGTTGTCAGGTTTGGGAGCTTCATACCCTCCGCTGGAGGCTTGGTTTTCGTTCTTTTTGCCCCGGTGGGCATTTTGTTCATTTGCAGCCGGCTCCTTTTCTGATAAAGAATGAGCCATTTGGCTTCTGGAGGGGTCCTTTGATCATTGGTGCTTGGTTGGTTCAGCTGGGGGTGCATTATGTGCTGTGTCTGGTGGGAGCTCACCGCTGCTACCTTTGTGCCACAGATTCTGCCTTGTGGAGTTGCTTCTCTTACCTTGGCTTTCCTGTTCTAAACTCGTTTTTCTCAGGTTGTCTGCAGTGTTCTTCAATGTAGCCAGCCTGTGATTGACCCCACATATGTTGTTTGGGGGTATGCAGTTCTCTTGGCAGTGTTTACCTACATGTCTTAGGCTGCTTTTTGGGTGCTGAGGTTTTGGAGGTCGACCTGGGTTCTGGGGGCTCGATGTCTTCTTATTGTTCCGGGCCCCGGTGCTCTTGGGTGCCCCGGTCTGTCCTCTTCATCTTGAATCCTGTGGTGCTTCCTTTTACCAGGTGGGCACCCGTGTTTTTTTTTTTTTTTTTATCTCCATTGATAGTTAGCTTCAGGTAGCCACAAGGAGCTTTTCCCCAACCAGTGTGAATGTAATGAAATGACAATTTCTTGGTGAGCTCTGGTGGATCCCTGACCCCCCTCCCCCCTCCCAGGTCATTGGATGGATGCCTACATCTGCCCTAGAACTGAGCTTGGGATGGCATTCCCCCCCTTCTCCTGCCCCCCCAAATGAGTGGGGAGAGGTGGGGCCAATAAGCTCTTACTAGTTCAGAGAAAATTTGATCATTTGTTTACATTGTTGTGGGAATTCTTTTGACAGTACTCAAGGCTTTGGTCTCCAGGAAAGCTACCAGTTCTGACTCACTGTTTTTCTGGTTGCCTTCCCCCAGTGGCCAGCAAAAATAAACGTCAACCGCTCCCTGCGCCTCTTCGTGGGGAACAGGTTCTGATGCTGGTAGCCAGTAGGTCTGTGGAACTCCGTGGCTGCTGCGACCATGTGGATGTCAGTTCATAGTAACTTCAGGGACCCACCATGACTTGCCCAGAAATTGGCATTTTATTACATTCTGTGCTGCTTTTATTTCCATCAGGCACTGACGAAAGTTGCAAGGAATTAAGAAATATGTATAATGAACACTGCCCTTCAACATGGGTGAAGCATTTTGATAGGAAGCGGAGCTACCTCATTTTTAAGGAGCAGATGAAGCAGGGATATGAGCCATTGGATTTTGAGCCAAGAAAAGTTAAAGGTTAATGAAAAATTTATTATTTAAATATTTTCTATGTTATCTTTACTACTTGTATGGCATGTGTACAATCAAAATTTTTACATCTTAGTTTCATATTGATGTTAAAATGAAATATAATCTTCATATTCAGGATAATTTGAATCATTATTCTTGTTAAAAGTTGATAAACTCATGCAATCTTAAGTCGTAATGTATATTTATTATGTAAATGACTGAACATCAATTTCATGTATTTTGTGTAGTACATATGCAATAAGTACTGAATTAGCAAAAAGATTTGTAAATTTATGTATGAATAAATTTTTTGTATGCTAGTATAAGCCAAGTTTGTAAATGTATAAATATAAATTTACCTGAAAATCAGGTTTTATTCATTTAATTGTTTATATTACCAGTCCTCAGCAGAATCTGAATTACAGTTGTGGTTGCTAGCAGTGGTTTTAAGAAGTTTTCATTGCTTGTTCTACTTGTTCGAGAATGTTAAATGATACTGTAGACACGCGATTATCTGAAATCTGACCATCCGGAAAAACGCCCTTATCCAGCTAAAATCGTGGCCTGATAGAGTTCTCACTATCCGGCCAAAATGTCCATGGGAGCCGGAAAAGTGGCCTAACACTCGCTGTACACCACCACCACCAGGGAGGGAAGGAGTCACCCCTCACTGCTGCTCACTTCCTCTGTCCTGTGCACATTCACTTTCCCCTCCCTCCCCAAGAGGTCCTTCTGTAGGTGGCAGTAGATTGCCAGCCTGGAGAATGTCCATCTAATACAATAAAGCATTCATGAAACGAGTATTTTGATAACTTTTTATTATCCTAATAATATTGCTAAACAAAATCTGCAACCAAAAATATATATGATCATGTACTGTACATCCAGAATTTAAGAAACAATTCTGGTTACCGGTGACAAGTGTAGGGTTATCTGAGTGAGCCCGTCCCTTCCCCCACCACCGACACACCTTCCCAACCCGCTCCACATCCCATACACTGCTTAAAGGTCACAGCTCAACTGTCCATAATAACCTTCCTAAGGGAAGGAGGAAGGGAAGGGAAGGAGGAAGGGAAGGGAAGGAGGGAGGGAGTCAGTCAGGAAGAGAAGGAGGGACGGAGTCGGCCAGGAAGGGAAGGAGGGAGGGAGGGAGTCGGCCAGGAAGGGAAGGAGGGAGGGAGGGAGTCGGTCAAGAAGGGAAGGGAAGGAGGGAGGGAGGGAGTCGGTCAAGAAGGGAAGGAGGGAGGGAGGGAGTCGGTCAAGAAGGGAAGGGAAGGAGGGAGGGAGTCGATCAGGAAGGGAAGGGAAGGAGGGAGGGAAAAAGAGTTGAGTGTAGTTACAGGATGAGAGCTACGCTAGTGGTGTCCCGTCTTCCCAGCACTCTGTCATATAACGCTTTGAAACTACTGACGGTTTTGGCCTCCACCGCGTTCTCACCTAAATTGTTCCAACCGTCTACCACTCTGTTTGTGAAAGTGAATTTTCTTATATTTCTTCGGCATCTTTGTTTAGTTAGTTTAAATCTATGACCTCTTGTTCTTAAAGTTACAGGTTTCAGGAAATCTTCCTTATCAATTTTGTCAATTCCTGTTACTATTTTGTACGTAATGATCATATCACTTCTTTTTCTTGTCTTCTAGTTTTGGCATATTTAATGCCTCTAACCTCTCTTCGTAGCTCTTGCCCTTCAGTTCCAGGAGCCACTTAGTAGCATGTCTTTGCACCTTTTCCAGTTTGTTGATGTGCTTCTTAAGATATGGGCACCACACAACCACTGCATATTCTAGCTTTGGCCTAACAAAAGTTATGAACAATTTCTTTAGTATTTCCCCATCCATTTATTTAAAAGCAATTCTGAAGTTAGAAAGCGTGGCATAGGCTCCTCGCACAATGTTCTTTATGTGGCCCTCAGGTGATAGTTTTCTATCTAGAACCACCCGAGTCGGAGCCGGTCGGCCGAGCGGACAGCACGCTGGATTTGTGATCCTGTGGTCCCGGGGTCGATCCCGGGCGCCGGCGAGAAACAATGGGCAGAGTTTCTTTCACCCTATGCCCCTGTTTCCTACCAGTAAAATAGGTACCTGGGTGTTAGTCAGCTGTCACGGGCTGCTTCCTGGGGGTGGAGGCCTGGTCGAGGACCGGGCCACGGGGACACTAAAGCCCCGAAATCATCTCAAGATAACTCAAGATAACCCCTAGATCTCTTTCTTTATCAGAATTCTTTAAAGATTTCTCACATAATTTATAGGTTGTGTTGGGTCTATGTTCTCCTATTCCACATTCCATAACATGGCATTTATTATCATTAAATTCCATTTGCCAAGTGGTGCTCCATGTACTTATTTTGTCCGTCTTCTTGAAGGGCATGACAATTATTGAAGTTTGTTATCCTTCCTATTATCTTAGCATCATCAGCAAACATGTTCCATATAATTCTGTATACCATCTGGTAGATCATTTATGTAGACAATAAACATCACTGGTGCAAGAACTGAACCCTGTGGTACTCTACTTGTGACGTTTCTCCAATCCGATACATTGCCTCTGATTACTGCCCTCATGGTTAGCTTAGCATTTTAAAAGCACCGAATCACCTTCTGTGGTTGATTTGAGCATTTGTTTCACTTCGTCTCTAGACACCTCTATGTGCTCTATGCTGGTCTCTGGAATTCTTATTGTGTCGGGTTCTCTGAAGATCTCATTTTGTACAAACACACTTTGGAACTTTTCATTTAATGTTTCAAGCATTTTCTTTTCATTTTCTGTGTTCTGTTCCCCATTTTCAACCTCTGAATATTATCCTTTACCTGCAGCTTGCTTTTAATGAATTTATAGAAAAGTCCTGGATCTGATTTTCATTTGTCTGCTATACCGTTCTCAAAGTTCCTTTCTGCCTCTCTCGTTACTGACGTGTAGTTGTTTCTTGCATCTTTGTATCGTTGGTATGGTTTGGGGGTTTGGCCTCTTTCTATAATGATTCCATGCTTGTGTCTTTTGATCTCTGGCCCTCTCTCAATTTCTGTTGAACCAACCCTGTTTCCTAGGTCTACATGTCTGTTTTGGAATGAATGTTTGTGTGCCTTCATAGAATATTTTACAAAATTTGGCATACATCTCATTTACTTCCTTGCCTAGCAACAAGTCTGTCCAATTATACCCATGAAAAAAATTTCTTAGTTCCTAATAGCATCCTCTCTTGAAATGGAGTTTAACAACTGTTTCAATGTCCCCATTCTCTACTAGATTATATCGCATGGCATATTTAATGTTCAAGAGGACGTGATCACTCTTTCTCAAGGGAGGAAGGTACTGGATGTCGAATATCTCCTTCTTTCCTGGTGAATACCAGTACTGACGTAACATCCCCTACCCTCATTCTTATGGCCTGCTTGACGTGTTGATACATGAATGTCTCCAAGATGAGGTTTAAATATCTGCCTGTCCAAATGTCCTCTGTTCTTGCCTCGTAGGCCTCCCAGTCTATTGCCTTAAAGTTGAAGTCCCCCAGTACCAACAATCGGGATTTATCTTTGCCAGCTTTTACCATAATCTTTCTCATGACCATTATGAGGCCCTCTCATTTGTCATCCAGTTCTTCCTTTGTCCATGTGTTGCTTGCTGGTGGGCTGTAGGTATTTAAAATTATCAGCTTATCATCTTGATTCCAGACCTGCAATGACATTATGTCAATATCTCGAGGGTTTTCAAATATTAACTCTCTTACCTTCAGGTGTTCCTTCACCAGCACAGCCACTCCTCCCCCATTCCTAGTTTTCCTGTCCCATCTCCAAACTGAGTAGCCCCTTGGGAATACGACCTCATTTAAAATATTTTCTTCAAGTTTAGTTTCTGTTAATGCGACAATATCTGGGACTTTGATTTGAATTATATCCTTCAACTCCAATATTTTCAATCTCACCCATCTATATTGGTTTGTACTATTTTCAGGAATATGTTCCCCTTCCCTTTGTTCTTTACACCCCCTTCCTTTAATGATTTTGTTGCTCAGTCTATAAGTACCATTTCACAAGCTTTCCAGTCCCTGACACTTTGTAGAAAAAAAGAATTCCTTTCTTCATTTCTATCCCCATTTAGACGTTTTGCTTCAATGAGGTTCATTTTCAGCATTTCTCTGTCCTCTTTTGAGAGGTCTTGTCTTATTGACCAAAGTTTGCCGTTCTCGTCACATTGCAATTTTCTGGTATTCCGAAGCACTTCTGTCATATACTGTACTGCACTCTATTAAATGTCACCCTTAAGAGGGGGTTCTTGGCTTTCTCATATTTTCCTATCCTCTTAAAATCACTAATATGCTCCTTTGAATTTAGGCCTTCTCCTAATCCTACTATTTTTTCTATGATTTTCATCTCTTCTGCTGCTCAGTCCACCCTAGATGAAATTTCCTTCTCTAAACATCCAAAAATTATTATGGATTTCTATCTACAGTGTTTTGTACCAGTTTACTGTTGGTTACCAGTTCTTTCCTAATTGCTTGCCTAAGATCCGCTTCTTGTTTATCATTACTGGTTTTGACTTCCAAACACACTTCCTTGATTGTCTCTTTCTCTTTTACAAAAACCTATATTTTTACAACCTTATATTTTAAAACCTATATATTATGTGGGAAATCTTTAAAGAATCCTGATAAAGAAAGAGTTCTAGGGGTGGTTCTAGATAGAATACTATCACCTGAGGACCACATAAAGAACGTTGTGCGAGGAGCCTATGCCACACTTTCTAACTTCAGAATTGCTTTTAAATACATGGATGGCGATATACTAAAGAAATTGTTCACGACTTTTGTTAGGCCAAAGCTAGAATATGCAACGGGTGTGTGGTGCCCATATCTTGAGCAGCACATCAACAAACTGGAAAAGGTGCAAAGACATGCTACTAAGTGGCTCCCAGAACTGAAGGGCAAGAATTACGAGGAGAGGTTAGAGGCATTAAATATGTCAAAACTAGAAGACAGAAGAAAAAGAGGTGATATGATCACGACGTACAAAATAGTAACAGGAATTTATAAAATCGATAGGGAAGATTTCCTGAGACCTGGAACTTCAAGAACAAGAAGTCATAGATTTAAACTAACTAAACAAAGTTGCCGAAGAAATATAAGAAAATTCACTTTTGTAAACAGAGTGGTAGATGGTTGGAACAAGTTAAGTGAGAAGGTGGTGGAGGCAAAACCGTTAGTAGCTTCAAAGCGTTATATGACAAAGTGTGCTGGGAAGATGGGACACCACGAGCATAGCTCTCATCCTGTAAGTACACTTAGGGAATTACACACACATTTATTTACACACACACATATATACACACAGACATCTATACACACATATATACATATATAATGTACACACAGTAAGGAAGTAAGGACCCGTTTCGTGAGTTTGTACTCGAGGATATGGCTACCAGTTCATTCCCTTACGATGAAAGACTAGGCCGTTAGCCATCCAGTAGGCCATCCCCAAAGACACAATAGTCATGCTGCACATGTAGTAGACAGCAAAGGCAGCCATATGCTTCAGGGAAAGCAGTGATAGATGTACTGTATAGCACAATAAAAGCAGGATGTGAGCCACAGGGGCAGAGTTTTCTACTGTTAACAGTGGGGCAACTGATGGATGAAAGAATAAGGGGCCAATGTTGATGAAGGGATGGCACCAGCGGGCCTGCAGATTAAATCAACAGAGAAGAATTAGATACCAGTCGAACCAATATTCACTGAACTTGGTAAGTAAGACCAGCAGAAGAAGTCAATACAGAGCAAAGAGGTCTAATCAGGAATTTTCCCTGCAGTATTGTTAGTAAGCCTTGTTAGTTTAGGGATGCCAAATTTACTTCAGGCAATCACTTGTTTTGTTGCACATGTTTTTATTGGAATTTTCCCAGTTTCTCTGGCTGATCTCTGTTATGGTGCTTCTACCTTATATGAGCCAGGTTCTGACTCTTGCAGTTGGTTGATTATGAATGGGTCTTGGAGGCTGGTGCATTGAGGTAAGGTTTACTGCTACCAAAGTTCAGTTTGGCAGCTTGATTTTTTGTTAGATTTACAAATGTGAATAACTGTGTAACCATTTAAGGTGTATACTGTTGTTGGTTGAAGTGTTCATTTAGCCATATTTCAGTTAAGTTGATAAAGGAAAGATTTTCATCTTAAGCTTCTAGTAATGCATATACTGTATATTGGAAATAAGTCCCCACATTTAACACTTAGATACTAAATATTAAATTAAATTACTATAACGTTTGTCTTGTTTATACAGTAATAATATAATTAAGGTGAAATAATACACAGTAATATGCCTTGGGGGCCGACACAGTTCTCTGCTTGGTTACGTCAGCTCCTCCTGCCTTGCCTCCAGATGATTGAAGACCCGCTGTTATTCTTTTACATCTCGTTATTAAATTAAGGTGAGGGGATTAAATACATTGAGTTAATAATATTAATTTAATTTCTTAGACTTTAGTGACCACTCCTAAATTATTATTAAGCCTTGCACTGACTAAAAGGTTGGAAAGTGTGGGAGGGAGAAAGGGTTCATCATTATGGATAAACACAGCCTATGTTGGTGATATAACATGTTGACGACAAAATCCTTGCATTAGTTGCCTAAAGGTCTAATAGCCTCATTTAAGGTAACTGCACTCTTTTCTGGGTAACTAGCTCCGGCTCCCAGGAGCTATCCAGGCTGATATGGATATATTAGACTTTGGGATCAATGTGAACGGAGTTCAAGGCCTACTGGGGACCACGAGCCAGAGTCTGGCCCCCTCAGAAGAGGCATGAGGAGCAATGACCTATAGAAACCCGTGTGTGGTTAGAAGCATTCAATGTCTGCCATCAACCGGGTCAGGCACCCAGAAAGGTAAGTGCCCCAAAACAAACCCCTATTCTGGCTAAGAAAATGCTACTGAAAGCCAAACTAGTGGACAGAACTCTTAAGTGAAAACGAACAAATGAATCTAATGTCACCACTTTACCGTGCCGCTGTCTGCGCAGTTCCCCCTCCCCAGGAGGGGAAAGGAGGAGCCCTAGACCCTCACGCTGACAATCTGCACCCCAATTCCGTGACTGATGTGAAAGGCTGAGGTCATGTGACTATGGCTTCTGTTTTCTTGGCTTTCAGCTCTGTGCCTTGTTGTGTGGTGCTGCTCTTCTGGTGGTGCACGGGCCAGGAGTAATTTCACAAGTACTCTGGCTGCATGTACTTAGGGTCACCTTCCCCAGGTGCCCTATAAGTGCTGCCCTTGGGGCTTGGGGCCACCTACCACGTGACACCTTGGGTTCTACCTCTGTTTGGTCTTTTGCTGCTTGGTGATCGACCACTCTGAGTGTGCTGGGGTGTTTCATACATCCTTGTTTGCCTTAGGGTTAGGGGTAGTTTGCACCGGTGGGGCGCAGGGTACTGCACTGCTAGTTATCACCCATTATAGTGGCCGGCTGTGTTCCGCCTGGGTACGTTGTCCTCGGTGATGTTCATTGTCTACATAAATGATCTACCAGATGGAATACAAAATTATATGAACATGTTTGCTGACAATGCTAAGATAATAGGAAGGATAAGAAGCTTAGATGATTGTCTTGCCCTTCAAGACCTGGACAAAATAAGTATATAGAGCACCACTTGGCAAATGGAATTTAATGTTAATAAATGCCATGTTATGGAATGTGGAATAGGAGAACATAGACCCCCACACAACCTATATATTATGTGAGAAATCTTTAAAGAATTCTGATAAAGAAAGAGATCTAGGGGTGGTTCTAGATAGAAAACTATCACCTGAGGACTACATAAAGAATATCGTGCGAGAAGCCTATGCCACGCTTTCTAACTTCAGAATTGCTTCTAAATACATGGATGGCGATATACTAAAGAAATTGTTCGCGACTTTTGTTAGGCCAAAGCTAGAATATGCAGCGGTTGTGTGGTGCCCATATCTTAAAAAGCACATCAACAAACTGGAAAAGGTGCAAAGACATGCTACTAAGTGGCTCCCAGAACTGAAGGGCAAGAGCTACGAGGAGAGGTTAGAGGCATTTAATATGCCAAAACTAGAAGACAGAAGAAAAAGAGGTGATATGATCACTACATACAAAATAGTAACAGGAATTGATAAAATCGATAGGGAAGTTTACCTGAGACCTGGAACTTTAAGAACAAGAGGTCATAGATTTAAACTAGCTAAACACAGATGCTGAAGAACTATAAGAAAATTCACTTTCGCAAACAGAATGGTAGACGGTTGGAACAAGTTAGGTGAGAAGGTGGTGGAGGCCAAGACCGTCAGTAGTTTCAAAGCGTTATATGACAGAGTGCTGGGAAGACGAGACACCACATCATCTTCATCTTGACATCTTGAGACACCACGAGCGTATCTCTCATCCTGTAACTACACTTAGGTAATTACACTTGGGTAATTACACACTCACTCACACTCTCTCACTTACTTTTCTTGGTGGTAATCCCATGCTAGGACCCCGTGGGTAGACACATCCTGGGGGTTCAGCTTTTAATAAGTTTGGTTGGTAGACTTGGGCACCGGTTCACAGTACCCTGTCTGGGGTTCTCTTAGCATGTTTCCCGTCTAAGGGCCCAGAGAAACCCAGCGGGGGCACTTTGGTCCAATGGATGCGACCTCTGAGTCTCCTCTTCCCTATCAGCCTGGATAGCTCCAGGGAGCCTCTGGGTGTCACGCAGAAAATGGCGTTTCATTACATTCAACGCTGGTTTTTTCGCCTCACGGTTGATAAATATCCAAATATAATATATAAGATTTGGCCATTTCTTGTGTATATAAGGTGTTAGGAGTGAGCGTGTCTACACTGTAGGATATCACCATAATCAAAAGTGAGAATACTAACTCTTCAACATCAAATTGAAGTTAACAATTGATGAAACTGAGATTCTTTAATTACATAACCAATTGTGATTTTCCCAATCTAATAAGTAAATTGCCGGCAGGAGAGGAAGCAACAACATTACGAGTCAAGAGGCAGCCGTATTCCCCATGAAGCTGTTTCTGGTCCGTGAACGATGTTAATTAAGGCTTACTCTGGTCTATGGATTTTCTTAGACAGATAAGTATTTTGTTTACTACTGATTCCAATTCAGATGGTGCAGTAAATCATATAAATAAATTCATTAGTCTGAAATAAACTTGGGAGTAACAGAATTAAAGCTTTAAATCAAATAAATAATAAATACGGCACCATCTGAATTCAAATAATTAATAAATAACCCTCCACTGTGGAAACTGTGTGTAAAGTAACCTATTTTATATAGTCCTCTGGAAATTAAAATTAAATATTGAAGTTAAGTTATCCAAGTAATCCCACATTGTTAATCTTTCATACCTAGATGGCTAATTGCTAGTCATTTGTATTTGGATGTGCCATAGCCTAATGTGCTATGGAACACATCAGCTTAATCAAAACTTAATTCAAATTAATTATTGTTGCTAGTTCAGATTGAAGTAACATCATCATTAAAATAAATAAAATAATTAAATAAACAGCCTCAACAAATATTATCTAGGTCACTAGGCTAGTGTGGCTGTAATTTTATAATAACTCAATTTTAACAGCAGCATTTGTTGGCCTTATGATCTTGCCATAATTTACATATCACAGAACTTTTCTAGGTCTAGAAAAGCTGGAAAATGTCAAGAGAAGCTAAAACCTTTCTTTGGAGAGCCCTTTCGGCTCCCTGGAGCTATACCGGGCTGATGTGTATATATTAGACCGTGGCAACAGTCAATCAATGGAGTTCTAGGCCTACCAGAACCAAGAGCCAGAACCTTGCCCCCTCAGAGAAGCACAAGGAGCAATGGCCTATAGACACACCCATGTGGTAATTACCTAAGTGTAGTTGCAGAATGAGAGCTACGCTCGTGGTGTCCCGTCTTTCCACCACTCTGTCATATAACGCTTTGAAACTACTGACGGTCTTGGCCTCCACCACCTTCTCACCTAAATTGTTACAACTTTCTACCACTCTGTTTGCAAAAGTTAATTTTCTTATATTTTTTTTGGCATCTTTGTTTAGTTAGATTAAATCTATGACCTTGTTCTTGAAGTTCCAGGGCTCAGGAAATCTTCCCTAGTAATTTTATCAATTTGTTAATATTTTGTACGTAGTGATCATATCACCCCTTTTTCTTCTGTCTTCTAGTTTTGGCATATTTAATGCCTCTAATATCTCTTCGTAGCTCTTGTCCTTCAGTTCTGGGAGCCACTTAGTGGCATGTCTTTGCACTTTTTCCAGTTGGTTGATGTGCTTCTTAAAATATGGGCACTATACAACTGCTGCATATTACAGCTTTGGTCTAACAAAAGTCGTGAACAATTTCTTTAGTATTTCACCATCCATGTATTTAAAAGCAATTCTGAAGTTAGAAAGTGTAGCATAGGCTCCTCACACAGTGTTCTTAATGTGATCTTCAGGTGATAGTCTTCTTATGTTGAACTACCTCCAGATATCTTTCTTTATCAGACTTCTTTAAAGATTTCTCACATAATTTATAGGTTGTGTAGGGTCTATGTTTTCCTATTCCACATTCCATAACATGGCATTTATTTACATTAAATTTCATTTGTCAAGTGGTGCTCCATATACTTATTCTGTCCAGGTCTTGAAGGGCATGACAATCATCTAAGTATCTTATCCTTCCTATTATCTTAGCATCATCAGCAAACATGTTCATATAATTCTGTATTCCAACTGTTAGATCATTTATGTAGACAATGAACATCACCGGTGCAAGAACTGAACCCTGTGGTACTCCACTTGTGACATTTCTCCAGTCCGATACACTTCCTCTTAATACTGCCCTCATTTTTCTATCAGAAAATTTTTCATCCATGTTAGCAGCTTACCTGTCACCCATCCAATGTGTTCGTTTCCAAAACAACCTCTTATGTGGAACTCTGTCGAAATCATTTTTTTGATCCAGATAGATACAGTCAACCTAACCATCCCTTTCCTGTAAAATCTCTGTGGCTTGATCATAGAAACTGAGTAAATTTGTTACACAGGATCTTCCAGATCGAAAACCATACTGATCTGATATTATATCGTTTGTCTCCAGGTGTTCTACCCATTTAGTCTTGATTATTTTTTCCAATATTTTGACAATTACACTTGTCAACAATACAGGTTTATAATTGATAAGGTCCTCCCTGCTGCCACTTTTGTAGATTGGAACTATGTTAGCCTTTTTCCACGCATCTGCTATGACTCCTGTACACAGGGATGCCTGAAAAATCATGTGAAGTGGAATGCTGAGCTCAGATGCACATTCTCTCAGAACCCATGGTGAAACTCCATTTGGGCCATCTGCTTTGTTCTTACTTAGCTCCTTCAGCATATTTTCCACTTCGTCTCTAGACACTTCTGTGTGCTCTATGTTGTTCTCTGGATTTCTTATTGTGTCTGGTTCCCTGAAGATTTCATTTTGCACAAACACACATTGGAAATTTTTGTTTAATGTTTCACACATTTCCTTTCCATGCATATGTTTCCCTTTTCCATGCATTTTCCATGCATCTGTTTCCCATTTTCACCCTCTGAATACAGTATTATCATTTATCTGCAATTTGTTGTTTATAAATTTGTAGAATAGGCCTGGTTCTGTTTTACATTTGTCCGCTATCTCTTTTCAAAATTTCTTTCTGCCTCTCTCCTTACTGCCGTGTTTCTCGCATCTTTGTATCGCTGGTATGTTTGGGGGTTTGGCCTCTACCAGTATTGATTCCATTTTCATGTCTTTTGGTCTCTGACCCTCTCGCAATTTCTGTTGAACCAATCCTATTTCCTAGTTCTGCATCTCTGCTTTGGTACAAATTTTATTGTGCCATTACCATTTATTTCACAAAACTTGGCATAGAGTACATCTCATTTACTTTGTGTCCTAACAGCAAGTCTTTCCAATCAAATTCCTTAAAGAAATGTCTGAGTTCCCCATAATGACCTCCTAAAATCAGGTTTTTCAACTGCTTCAACCTCATTTTCTTTCAGATTATAACGCATTGCATACTTTATTTCCAAAAAGGCATGGTCACTTTTACCCAAGGGAGGAAGGTACTGAAAGTCAAATATCTCTTCCTCTTTCCTGGTAAATATCAAGTCCAGCATGGAGGGAACATCCCCTTCCCTCATCCTCGTAGCTTGTTTAAATTAACATATTGAAACATGAATGTTTCCAGGATGAGGTTTACAAATCTACAAGTTCAAAAATCCTCTGTTCTAGCTTCATATGCCTCCCAGTCAATGGGTTTCAAGTTAAAATCGCCGACTATCAACAGTCGTGATCTATCTTTATCAGCTCTCGCTATAATTTCTCTCATTATTGTTGTAAGACCCTCTCATTTATTATCTAGCTCCTCCTTTGTCCATGTGTTGCTTGGCGGTGGACTATATGCACTTATGATCATTAATTTATCATCCTTATTGCAGATCTCTAGTGCTATTATGTCAACTTCTCGTGGATTGGCAATTATTATTTCTTTTACCTTCAGGTGTTCTTTCACCAGCACAGCAACGCCTCTGCCTTTCCTAATTTCTGTCCCATCTCCAAACCGAGTAGCCCCTTGGGAAGATGACCTCATTTAAAATATCATCTTCAAGTTTTGTCTCTGTGAGTGCAACAATGTCTGGTGTCTGCAACTGTATTACATCACTTAACTCCAGTATCTTTGATCTCACTCCATCGATGTTGGTGTATACAAATTTCAGGAACTTGTTCCCCCCTCTCCTTATTCTTCACTTCCCCCTCTCTCTAATGATTTTGTTGGTTTGCCCTTATGTACCACTTTACTGGTCTGCCTACCCCTATCACTTTGTAGAAAAAAGAATTGATTTCTTCTTCATTCCTGCTCTCATTTAGACGTTTTGCCTTGACGAGGTTTAGTTTCAGCTTCTGTCTTCTTTTGAAAGATCTCACCTTAATGACTATACTTTCCCTTCCTCATCATTTTGTAATTTTCTAGCATTCCTTAGTACTTCTTCCATCTGGCACTGTTCAGGGTGATCCTCAAAGGTCGATTTTTCCCTTTTACGTACAGTACTTTCCAATCCTCCTGTAGTCGCAGACATTCTCGATGGTAGTAAGACCTTCCACGAGGCCAACAATTTTATCTACTACTTTCTCTTCTTCTACAGCTCTTTCTGACCTAGATGTTATCTCCCTTTCTTTGCAACCAAAAATTATCAGGCACTTCGATCAACTGTGTTTTGCACCAATTTAGGATTTGATGCTAGTTCCTTTCTGACTTCCAGCCTAATGTTTGTTTTATCCTGGTTTGCTGCAGTGTTTGGCTTCCTTTACTGCTTATTCTATTTTTTCCTTCTCCTTGCCCACTTGTGCATAAGTGAGTTGCATATCTTTCTTGCACTGTTCTATTCCCTGTGTAACTTCCTCCATTTTTACATACAAAAGCTGTTTTTCCTGTTGAATTTCCTTACCAAACCTATTGTAGTCATTTATGTTTAAATTTGCTTTAACTTCTTCCAAAGCTGTTTTTAAGAGTTTATTTTCACCTTTTATGGCTATGCAATTTGTTTTCAATTGATTTTTGTCCTTGCACAAGTCTTTCACTAACCTCTCAAGACCTAAAACTTTGCTACTCAAGTGGTCATTACTTTTTTCAGTTTGCTAATTATTTCTACATGATAGGTCATTATAATATATAATTTGACAATTTGTTGTGTAGACTGTTTATATCAATGCTTTCTTCATTAAAACCCCCCAAATCTAGCTGTTTTGTTTTCTGTCTTGCTGGCGGCCATCTTGAATGTTGTTGTCTGTACTGTGAACACTGGGGCAACTTTTTCTCGTCCAATTTTTTACTTCCCTTGGCACATTCGCATTATCTCTCCTATATTTCCAAAGCACTATACCTTTATGTTCTTTGGGATACCACTCACTATCATCAACCTGTACTACAATACTAAGGAATTGTAAAATATCCTAGAGCTCCTTTGATGCAGTTGCTGACACAAGGGGTGTCAGCACCTCCATCACAA